GTCGAGAAGACCGGGTTATAAAAGCTCTGAATAAATAAATAAATAAATAAATAAATAAATAAATTTCCCACACAGAACCCCCAGGACCAACAGAAAATACTGTGTTTTCTGATTGTCTTCGCTGATCCCTCTGAACCCCCCCCCCCCCCCCCCGCAATCGTCCTGGGGTCCCAACCCCCAGGTTGAGAAATGCTGAATTAGACTATGACTATGATTTTGAAGGTTATACACTCAGCAACCAAGACACAGCAATTCTGTCAACAAGGACAGGAACACTGCAAGTTCTCTTGATGATGTTGTTGGACCCCAACTTTCACAAGTTCTCTCCTAATCACTGACCATACTGGCAGGGACTATCTGAAGGGAGTCTTTCAATGTAAACAATAGATGGAGGAACTGCCATTTTAAAACTTGTCTCACTCAAGAATCTGGCTTTGTTAGAGGAATATCTTCCTAAACTATGGGCAGTCTGAGACCCTCAAAGCCAAGTCATACAAGTTATATGCAAATGTGTGTCACCTGTAACTAGTGAAAAGTGGTTCCTGGGCAGTGGTTCTCAACCTGTGGGTCTCCAGATGTTTTGGCCTTCAACTCCCAGAAATCCTAACAGCTGGTAAACTGGCTGGGATTTCTGGGAGTTGTAGGCCAAAACACCTGGGGACCCACAGGTTGAGAACCATTGTTCCTGGGCATTCAGAAGTAGAGGTGTACGTTACGGGCTTTTTTCACACCCTTTTGTGGTAGTTGACTGGCTTTTCCTTGTCTCCCGATTCTCCATTCCAATCAGCAAGAGGGGAGAGAGATTATTATTCTCAGCAAAGTAAAAAAAGGAGGTTTGTATACATTTAACTCATGGAAACTCCACTGAACAGACCAAATGGTTAAGGAATAAGAATGCACAGGACTTATCAATAAATTTTACAAATATCCCCAGTGATACACCTTTATCTGCAGAAAGTGTCACCCTCCAGACCTTGTTGAACTACAACTCCTATCATCCTGTTACATGACTGTGCAGACTAGGTTGATGCAAAACTTTCTTTGGCAAGTCATTTATTTGTGGAAATTTGTGGCATTATCATTACACAATGGAAGAAGCTCAGGTCTCATCTACACTGACCATTGAATGCAGTTTCAAAGAGGTACTGAAAAAAATGTTTTTTTTTCTGTGTAGATGATTGCATAGCAAATCCTGGAACCAGTTTGAGAGCCAGGTGGTGATTACACAAACCACAGAGCAATGGTGTACATGAAGGGCTTTTTTCACACCCCTTTGTGGGAGTTGACTGGCTACTGCAGTTCAAAGCTAACTTTGAACTGCAGTAGCCAGTCAAATCCCACAACAGGGTTTAAACAAAATCCCTTAATGCGCATCAGCTTAAGAAACCCCTTAATGTGCTAGCTTTGAACTGCTCTATATGGTCTGTGTAGATGGAACCTCAGATAACACCAAATTTAAAAAAGGCCCTTTGCCAGAGAGATTGTCTAGTGAGATTGTCACAGGAGTGGAAGTGTGGTGTTGCGGTAACATGTATCACCACAAGGCTGAGACAAGAAAGGGCAAAGTGCTCATTCTGGAAGTCTCCTTTAGATGTTATTTTCCTCTAAACAGGTTGCAGGACCCACCTGCAAATGTTTAATTGAAAAAGAAAACCTTCAAAACCAAGAAGTGAACATCCAACCACTTCCAGACTTTCAGGGAGCATTTTAGTTAGTCGGTGCAATCCCTAAAGCAGTGGTTCTCAACCTGGGGTATCCAAATATTTTTGGCATTCAACTCCCAGAAATCCTTACAGTTAGTAAACTGGCTGGGATTTCTGCGAGTTGTAGACCAAAAACATCTGGGGACCCCAAGTTGGTAACCACTGCCCTAGAGAGTTATACAGATTTTAGACAAGGTTCTCAAACTGAACAATTTTTCCTCACTGGATTTGTTGCTTGTGTGTGCCTTCGTGCCATTTAATATTAATGATCACCCTAAGGGGAACCTTTAACTCTGTCTCCTTTGTTCAGAGAAGATTTGCTTTTGTCTTCCTTTGAGGTTGGGAGAGTATAACTTGCCCCAGGTCACTCAATGCGTTTCAATGCCCAAACGACCATGCTCACTCTCGCCAGTGGATTAAAGACAGTATTAGGAAAGAAATTAGACAATACTCAAAAAGACAGACTAGTACCATTTGAAAGCTTTCAACATTCACATGCTTCGAGAACTGGATGAACATTAAGATAGTGACAAGGAATAAGTTACATGTGAAAATAAGCCCAAAAAACAGATGGTGACTGTGAAGCCAAATAATTCATTAATATCTCATTTCTCGGTACAATTCCATTTTCTAGGAGGAGGCCACTAGAGGGTGCTAGAGAGAGAAGGACAGTCCATTGGGAAGGGGGAGTTGAAGGAGGAAAACAATTTCCCACATTTTGCTTGTTATTTCCCCTCCTGCAATTCACATATCATAAACGAGGGTTCTTTCCACGATGGGGACATGGGTGGGAGCAACAACAGGAAAACAGGGGGAAATGGTATTCCTCCTTCAATCCACCTTCCACCCCCATAAAATGGACTATTCTTCTCCCTCTAACACCCCCTAGTGACCGCCCAGATCATAGAACAGTACCCATTTCTCTTAACTCTTATTTCTCAGGGATTAGGAGGCCTTTTTTCAACACCAGGGTCCGATTACTGCCTAGGAGACCTCTTATGGGCCAAAGAACAGCTATAGATCTGGCCATAGCCCTGAGTAGGTATTACATTGTCCTCTTTCACACACAGGTCTCCACTTATTCATATGTACACATAAGTCAGTCTCCCCCCCCCCCCACACACACACACATCCACACAGAGCTATTTTGGCATAGAGGAAGCTACTTTTTCAGGAACTGCCTCTCCAGGACACTCCAATGCTAGCGATGTTGGGGTGGTGTTCCAAAGAACCAACTCAGGAAATCTGGCAATTTGCTCACATTTTTAGGTCTCATAGCCCAACTCAAACAGAAGATACCAAACACATGACCCTTAACATTTTCTTAAAGGGTAAGTAAAAGGGAGCAGGCCATCTTGAGAGTTACCACCTCAACATGATAAGGAATCTCGACATGTCAGCCCTCAAAAAACACATACACACACACTTTCAGGGAAAATGTTAAGGCCTGTCAAGCTCTTATAGGAAGGGGGCTTGAAGGAAGGCCATGAGGCTCAATGAGACTGAATGCCAGATGTTCATCAAATTCAGAGCAGCAGATGGGGAAGTCACACCAGTCTTCACGACAGCATGCCTAAAATTCAGGGATGCTAAAACCACAAGCCTCAATACAGAGGTGCAAGCACAGCCACACTTTGCACACAAGCATACTGTACACAAACACATGCATGGGAAACCACTTCACACATTATAAAATAGTAAACCTAGGTTTGAAACTTAATAGACAGCTGCAGCCAATACCAAAGCTCTGCAACTAACTGTACCAGCACAGCATACATCTTTGTAAATACAAATTGAGTATGGGTTATCTGAAATGCTTGGGACTAGAAAGGTTCCATACTTTGGAACTGGATTTTGCGTGTGTATGTGTGTGTGTGTGACATGTTGGAGATGAGATCTAGGTCTAAACACAAAATTCATTTATGTCTGGATCAGCATGGCCATATAATCCAGCTTCTGAATCCAGATTATCTCCTTTGATTATCTGAGTCCACACTGCCATATAATCAAAGCAGATAATTGGGATTTAGAAACTGGATTATATGGCAGTGCAGATGGTTTCGCCCCAGCTATTTTATACACAATATTTTAAATATTTTTGTAGCTGAAACAAAAGTCATACAAGTGAACCATTTGAAAGCAAAAGTGTCACAATCTCAGCCACTATGTGGATAATTTTGGAGTATTTTAGTATTGGAAGTTCTGGATATGAGATTCTAAACCTATATCCATTTTCATACTCATACTTCACACAAATGCTTTCTGGTTGAACAGACATAATACCAAGAAATCTTAGACTCATATATAATATGCAAAGTGTCAAATCAAAATGCAGGTGTTTTCCAAATGGTCTCCTTGAGTATAAAAGTTATGTTCCATGCCCTTAAAGTGAATTGAGGATGCCCAAAACAGATTAAGTCCCATTCAAACTCCAAAACAAAGCAAAATAAAATCAAAACAAAAAGATCAAATTCTTTGTTACAGAGCACATGTATTCATATGTTGCATCCTTCTGTGCTATCCAAATATCTCAAATCATGCAGATAGATGCAAAGTGTTTTTGCAGCAATGAAAGGAAAGAGTGGAGAGCAAGACAATATATATGAATATATATTTATATCTCAGCAACAAAATGTTTTGCAGCTGTTATGGCAACCTGTAGGCATAGTCTTATGAACGGAATGGCTTGATGGAAAAAATATCAAAAGGGAGACATATGAAGGTTTGCCACGTACCTCATACGTTTTAGAATTCGGGATACAAAAATCAACCACATATCTCATAATTACTGTAAGAGAGAGGGTTAGAAGAATTGATTTTTTTTCTCCCCATGAAAAATAGTAGCTGTTTGCAATAGATCCTGGTGAAACAAGTGAAGATACCTATACAGTTCATCAAACTGAATAGATTCCAACTACTGATAATTTAATAATTTTATAGCATTTTATCTTTGTCCAAGATGATTCTGTGCATATATGTATGTGCCTGTGCCATTTCTGCAGCTCTGATGGGGGGATGCAGGCACGCTAAGGTTTTTTCTTTCTGCCAACTCCAGGGAGCAAAATGACTGAGCTTTTGTGAAACCATCTCAACATACCAAGTCGTTTTTCTTTTAAAGAATGCCACTATCACAATGGATAGAATGACACACCTCAGCTAAGATGTAACACCCAAGAAATAACTATAATACAATTCACAGCAGGGTGGAATGAAAAGCTATATGCACAAGACGACATCCAAATTAAACACCCTTTCCCTATCTGAGTACGGACAGGTGAAAATCAGAGCATGCCTTACCTTTTGTCTGCAACCCAGTCAAACCCGACCAGTATCTCACACTAGAAAGAATCGGCTGGAGGATCTGCAAGAGAAGCCACCACCCACCCAAATTAAAATCATTACATGGGGAAGGTCTGCTCTCCCATTTTGACACAACCTCCCATCCCTGCATCAGTTTTTTTTAAAAAGGCACAAATGTCCATGCAAAAAAATGCCAAACCTCCACACAATAAAAAAATCTTCAGAATAGAAACAGATCTACACCCCATGCCTTATGTGCAAAGTCTGGCTTCCACTAATATTGGCACATTCTGCACCTAATGGCAGAAAAGACTAAGCATATTGCAGGTATTTAAAAAAGGAAATCACATAAAGCTGATGGTAAAACAAAGGGGGTGGCAGAGAAAAGGGGAATCATTACCAGCGCTGTTGCTGCAATACCACAAAGGCATATCCTTAAGTAACTGCAGCATACTCATTCTCCCAAAGCAGTGTTAATCTTCATGAGCTCACTGTCTACCTCCAGGCAGACACAGTCTGCTAGCCACCAGCTCGCAGCTTCCGTAAATGTGCCGGGGAAGAAGGAAACTGCAAATTAGAGAAAGTCCCCACAGCGGTGAAAAGGAAACGAGGCCGAGCGACAGGCACAGAGGGAGCTTGCCGGCCACCGAATTTTCCAGAAAGATGGCAAGGCAGCCAACTCCGCCATCATCCACTTACAATGGGATGCTGCGCTCGCCTCTCAGCTTAAGCAGCCTGTCAAAAGGATTCCTGGTATCGAATGCCTGACAAGCATTTTAATTGCAACCAACCAAAATGTGTCCTCAGTAATCAGGCCTCTAATCCGGAGAAGGCTGTCAAATGACTTGCTTTTATGTCACTGCCAAAAGCACACGTAGACAACAGAACGATGTTGTTTGATGCACATTTGTGAATCCAGAATGTTTTTAAAAAAATATTTTACTCTCAGTACTATGTACCAGGACTATTCTACCACTCCCACTGTATATGATTTCATTTCTTTTCCTTTGTATCTTCCACGTGTTTTGGTCTTTGAATCACAAAGAAATATAAGGCTACTAGGTGTCTCCTGCCACGCGTTGCTGTGGCCCGGTCTGTATATATGTGTTTTATATATGTGTATGTGTGTGTGTATATATATATTTGTGTATATGTGTGCGTGTGTGTGTGTGTGTGTGTGTGTATGTATGTGTATATATATATGTATATATATATATATATATATATATATATATATATACACACACACACACACACACGAGGGGCATTTTTAAAGTAAGGTCCGTTTTGTTGTAGACACTAGTAGTTCGCAACAAGCGCGTGCGTCGTGTACCGGCATGCCTCGGGAACAACTGTGCTCAGTTTCCGCTCTGTAGCTAACCTGTACAGTTCTGTTCTGTGCTTTAAAAATGTTTAAGACTATCAACTCACCCTCCGCATGTGAGGTTCGCTCAGTGATAAAGTTTTTGTCAGCAAGGAACCAGCCTGCTGCAGAAATTCATCGACAGATTTGTGAAGTGTACGGTGATACTGTTATGAGTGAAAGCAAAGTGCGTAAGTGGGTCCGACAATTCAAAGATGGCCGTGACAACGTCCATGATGAGGACCGCTCCGGTCGCCCTTCTTTGATTACAGACAATTTGGTAGCTTTTGGTGGTGGCAAGTTTTTATGAAGAGGGTATTTTAAAATTGGTTCAGAGGTATGATAAGTGTTTGAACAAACTTGGCAACTATGTCGAAAAATAGAGTGAAGTATGTACTTTCTGAAAATAAATTTACTTTTTTGAAATAAACTTTCGTTGTGTACTTATGTTCAAATGGACTTTACTTTAAAAATACCCCTCGTATATATGGTTTTGCACATACATTGTAATGTTTTTTTATATTTTTTGGCTTTTTAAGTCCCTTCTGTTGTGTTTTTCAGTGTTTTTATGACTGATGGTCACATGTTGGCCTGATATGTATATTGTGTCCAAATTTGGTGTCAATTCGTCCAGTGGTTTTTGGGTTATGTTAATACCACAAACTAACATTACATTGCGTTGTTGTAGGTTTTTTTGGGCTATATTGCCATGGTCTAGAGGCATTCTCTCCTGATGTTTCACCTGCATCTATGGCAAGCATCCTCAGAGGTAGTGCTTGCCATAGATGTAGGTGAAACGTCAGGAGAGAATGCTTCTAGACCATCGCCATATAGCCCGAAAAAACCTACAACAACCCAGTGATTCCGGCCATGAAAGCCTTCGACAATACATTTAACATTACATTTTTATTTATATAGATTCCCCCCCCTCCGACATTAAAACAGTAAAGTAGAAAAATGATAAAGCTACCAAAAAAGCAGAAGCTACTAGATTCCTGTAATAAGTCAGTGTTTACTCATATTGTGAAATATATAAATGCAATAGGCCCTTGGTATCCACAAGGTTTTGGTTCCAGGATCATAGAATCATAGAGTTGGAAGAGACCTCATGGGCCATCCAGTCCAACCTCCTGCCAAGAAGCAGGAATATTGCATTCAAAGAACCCCCGACAGATGGCCATCCAGCCTCTGTTTAAAAGCTTCCAAAGATGGAGCCTCCTACGTAGGACCTCCTACGTAGGACCCCCTACGGATACAAAAATCCATGGATGCTCATGACTTATTCTATACAATGGTTTAGAAAAACGGAGCCACTTATATCAAATGGCAAAACTGAGATTTGCTTTTGAGGATTTTGTTTTTGAATCTCTTTAAGCTACAAATCCGTGGAAACAAAGTGCTGACTGTACACTGGATTATCCACAAACCTTCTGCTGGGGTTTGAAAACATTAACAGCAATATGCCATGTAGGTGGGTAAAATCATACATCTGAATGAGACTTTCAAAGATGACCTTTCCTATGAAATCACTGCAGATTACATACATATAAGTCATGATAGTTGGTGAAATATGTTTGTTTTATTAAGCAGAAGGCAACAGATGGTGCTCCAATGTTGTCTAAATTTTATCCTGCCCTTTCTTTCAGAATTGCACCCCCAAATCCAATGTACATGTCATCAAAAGAAAATCTCACAACGTTAATAAGACAAACTCCCAGCTACTCTGCTATTCAGAAATCTAGCTCCAACTTTTGTTTAACAAATAATTGGCAACTGGTTGGTAGTTGATTTAGAAAGAGTATCTTCAATGTATTTGTTCGCTTCTTCCATTTTTAAGAAGCTGAAAGGAAATGATGGAGAAAATTAATCCCCATTTAAGATCACACCTCTATAAAATGTATCTGACATTAAGTCTATTTGGCCTAAATCCTAAAGTAATTTCTCATCTATGCTAGATCCACTGAATAAATGGAATGTATGTAAGACTTTCTATTGATTCACTGGGTTTATTCTATTGAGAACTATTTGCTATAAGCTAGTGAATATGAGTGAATATTCTCACTCTTGAATGAATAAGAATGCAATCCAACAACAAGAAAAACATTTCACACATAGAAATATTAGTATATGCTTGAAGATTGCTGAAAACAGTAACAGAGCTTCAAAAAGTAACTGCGACACCAGCCTGCTCTAGTTTGAACATTGGATAATGACTCAAGACCAGAGTTCAAATCCCTGTTCAGCCATGAAACCCATTGCGTGAACTCGGGCAAATCACACTCCCTCCGTCTCAGAGGAAGGCAATGGGAAATCTCTTCTGTACTGATTCTGCCAAAGAAGCATCACGATAGGGACCATCCTGGTTTGAAAAACAATTCCCAAACAATCGGAAGGCACCTAACAGTTACAATTGCTATCATAGCTTCAAGGCTCCTGTAAGGAAGCGTAATCCCACCTAAATGGGATTACCAAAATTAGGTAAATACATATGTTAATCCACCTAATTTCAACCTAAATTATAAGGAAGTCCCAAAACTGCTTGATTACACTGCCACCATTATATATATAGAGAGACGTTGGAATTGAAGTCTCTATTTATCCCTATCTGCGTTGTGAGGCAACTTTGGTAGAGTGGATTGCACCAAATGTAAAATCAATGGAGGAGGCAGATTTATAACACAGAGAGAACAAGTTTATTGTTAACAGAGCGTAATTGTTGCAATACTAAGATGTTGAACTTGGCACAAGCTTGATGGTTACAATATGGCTTGGTAGAGATACATCCAGGCTTCTGATGTTACAATCCTTTAAACTCCCTCTTCAGTGAAGTACTTTATTATTTCAGTGTTCCCTGTTGTGAATATTCACTCTGTTTGTCCTATACCGGATCAAACCACCGATCTCCAGTCTTTCACTACTGGGATCCCTAAAACCCCCTTTGTTAGATTCTTTTTAACACAAGCAATCTAACAAGGTTTCACCTTCAGCTCCCTTGCTGAAGAAATATTCACAAATGCTAAGAACTAACTGAATTTATACTGCTTCACCACACAGAGCCCTAACTGACTCCGCTCCTCTTCTCAGGGTCTCATCCTCCTGACTGACTATTAACTGTTACTTTCAAACCTTTTTCTCCTTAAGCTCCGCCCACCTTCTCTTCTGCCTTGTCACCATGGCAACCTATCTCTCACAGCTAGGCCATGGCCACGCATGTAAAACATAAATACAGTTTAAACACAGTACAATAAACCCTTTATAATAAACACTTCTCTACAGCTCCCACCAACATTCTTATTATTACAACTTTACATTTAATTTTTCTATTTTCACAGCTCAAAGTGTAAGATAGTTTTCTTTCGGGGAAAAAATCTCAATGTTTTTCATTTTGCAACACAATGCACAAGTCAACCTTTGAATCAAGTCTTCCCCAATGTATAATGAAGGTATGTCACTAGACTTGTGCAATTCGGCTGGAGGGCAATCTGTTTTTGGTATCCGAATTTCAGATCCATTTTCGGGAGCCTTCTAAAATTGGCTAATGGAAAAATCTGTTTTTGGCTAGGCAGCAAAAAGATCCAGGAAGATCTGGCCCATTGCCAGCAATGGGAAACTTACAAGACTTCCCTTTCCATTCCTGGGATTGTTTCATGGGCCTGGGTTTGAAGAATAGGGTTAAGGAAGCATCCTTCCTGAGCTCCTTTTCTTTCTTCCTTTCAAGAAACTCTGGGTTTGAAGAACGGGGTTAAGGAAGCATGCACTGCATGCTCCCGAACAGAAGGGCAGAAGCCATGCCCAGTGGGCCATTTTAAAACATAGTCCTTCAAAATACATATTAAAATACACAGAACAAGATTTAAAATTTGTGATTAAAGACACAAGTTTAAAATTTGTGATTAAAACAGGCTGAGTAGCCTGTCAGAAGAGATAGGTCTGTAAATAGTTTTTAAATTCTGACATTTAAAATTGGAGCTCTTCTGGTAGGTCATTCCACAGTTTTGGGGCAGCCAATGAAAAAAATCTTCTGGATGACAATCACCAGTCAGGTTCTGATTGGATGGAGTAACAGCCCCCCCCCCAGAGGACCTAAGAGTTTAAGACAGATTGTGTGGGAGAAAACGATCCTGTAGGTTACCTTTCAAAGTCAAAACCAACATTTTTTGCTTTGCCTAAAAACTAATTGGTAGCCAGTGGAGTGACTTTAGGATAGGTTCACTCTGTGATGATGGCGTAACCAATCTGTCTGCCGCATTTTAAACCAACTGGAGTTTCCAAATTGCAGAAGTCCAACCTTGATGTAACTAGGATATGCACTAATATTTTCAGGTCCTCCATATCTAGGAAGGGATGCAACTGGTGTATCAGCCAAAGCTGGCAGTAAGCACACCTAACTATCGAATCTACCCAGGTTGACATTTGGAGAGACAGATCCAGAACAACTCCCAAGCTGTGAACACAGTCTTTCAG